AGTGATCACCAACCGGAGGTATTAGACCCCTCTTCTAATCCTGTCATTATACCCTTGGCTTGATCTGGTCTCAGATGCAGCCCTTTCACCCCCAGAGAGGCTCATAGCATGTTTGTTCCCGTCTTATCAGATGAGTCCACCTGTCTGCTCACTTCAACTAAATCATTGCTCTGTGGGTTGGAAGCGACATTGATCAACTCATCTATAGCCTCTATGCGTTAGCAAAAAGTTAATAAGTTAAGGCAGACATCATACACGGTTTCCAAAACCTGGTTTATGGTGTAGTAAACACATTTAAACCATATGCAGGCTCAGCAGTTTGCTTCCTTGAGGCGCTTTTGCAACTACAGTAGTCCCGCCTCCGGCGCGTAAAGACCCCGGCGCGTTCTTACGCACTGCATTCAGCTGGAGCAGCCTGGAGCGCAGGAGGATGCAATACACACACATGTTTATTAGCTGTAGGTCTGTGTAGGATTATCCATTCCGAAAGAATGACTGCGGACAGCTGTGATTCTCTAGAGGACTTGCAAGCTATTGTTGGAGAGATGCAGGTCTCCAACGTCTCCAGGGCATTGCACGAAAGCAAACTCACCGAGAAATCCAACTGTGGATCTGTATCTGTTGGTTTCCCTATAACCATGATGATCACTGGCATGGTGGGCAATTCACTGGCTCTTATTCTGGTGTATATTTCTTACAGAAAGAAAGAAAATAAAAGGAAAAAGTCTTTCTTGCTTTGCATTGGATCACTGGCGTTGATTGACCTGTTTGGACAGCTTTTGACAAGTCCTATAGTGATATCCGTTTACAGAGCTGATCTAAACTGGGACCGTATCGACTCATCGGGCAAACTGTGCTCTTTTTTCGGTGTGTGTATGACAACTTTTGGCCTGTGCGCTCTTTTTTTGTCCAGTGCCATGGCCATTGAAAGGGCTTTGGCGATAACAAATCCACACTGGTACTCCAATCACATGAAGACAAGCGTGACAAAGCAGACTTTGGCTACCATATGGTTTCTTGTTTTGCTCTTTGCACTGCTGCCCATTGCAGGGGTCGGGGAATACACGCGCCAGTGGCCCGGTACCTGGTGCTTTATCAGCACGGGGGACAGGGAAGTCCCGGGCAATATGTTTTTCGCCGTCACTTTCGCTGTACTTGGGATTTTCTCTCTGCTTGTAACACTCTCCTGCAATGTAATTACAATCCGGGGTTTAATTATCCGGTGCAAAACAAAGTCAGGCACGTCCCAGTCTTCAAAACAGTGGGAACGGCTCACCACGGAGACCGTCATTCAACTTTTAGGGATTATGTTTGTCGTTCTTATATGCTGGTCTCCTCTGCTGGTATGTTTTGATGGGCGACTATAGCCTATACTTTTCTAACTGCATACATCCAAAAGCCCCAGTTACTGAAGATATAATGCAAATAATAAAGCATATTTAGAAATTTTACTAATTTATTCATTCGCAAATGTTTAGCGAAACCCTTTGGACTAATATAGAGTGCCCAGTGACATACTGTAATTCACTCTTTAATCTAGAGTCCTAAATGGGTTTTAGTGTCAGCTGCCTGACACAATCAGCTGCAAATCACTGTCTCTGGAGATGCTTCATCTATCAGGACAGGGAAAAGATGCAAGATGCATTAAGGAGCTATCCATTTAGCAGAGTCCTGTTTGAGTGGTCTGCTCAGTGTGCTATGAGGTCATGTGTTGTCAGTCCCATGCTTATTTGACTCACTAAGGGTATTAACTGGTACCTGGAGTGTGACATATTCGTTTGATACTGGTGCTGTTTAGGATTTTCTTGGGATTAGTAGGCTACCATTCATAATTACTATTAAAAGAAACTGCCTAATAAATTACAACAATTATATCTCAGCCAATAAGAGTGCATATAATAAAATATACTGTTAGACATGTGGAAGGTTTTTTCAGTGGGACATTTCTTTAAATACCACATTTTCTCCTAATTCTCTTGGTGTATCTAATATTTAAGATTCTTTAGACCATGTTTCAGAAACATAATGCTGATGTACGACATGTTTCCGTTTGTATAAACCTGTGCCCACTTCTCCCTTTAGGTGCTGATGTTGACGATGATCTCCGCCCAGGTATCCTCCCACGAGTGCAATTCAACAGTAATGCCCAGCCAGGATGTCCAGTTAGACTGTGACTTCTTTCTGACAGTGATCCGCCTGGCATCCCTCAACCAGATCCTAGACCCTTGGGTCTATCTGCTCCTCAGAGAGATCCTTCTGCGCAAGTTCTGCCTTGTGGCTAATGCTGTGTCCAACTGCACCACAGAGGATCACAAACAGACCCAAACAGCACTGGATACTCTTAACAAGCAGAACCAAGACAGCAAGCATCTTCATAAACCACAAAGCAGCTAAGTCTGGCCTTTGATGGGAATTGCTGACTTTGTGACTTTGAAGTATGGGCAGATTGGATGCATTATTGTCTTGTGTTGTGAACAAACACACAGAAGCATGTTCTGCAATGGGAGACAAGAGTGGGATCTGTTGTAGTGCTGCTGGGAACCAGCCAGTTCTTCTCTGGGTGCATTTTGGTCAACATATTTTATTCGGTCACCCAACCAGGATGTGGACACAGTATTGTGTCATGGCTGCCAGGAACTCTCTCCCTCTCTTTTTTTTTTTTTTTTTTGTTGGCTGTTGTTCAGTTTTGATAATATCACCTCCCAGACCCAAGAACTGAATAAAGGCGACTCTAAACTGATGTATATGGAAGTGATGCATCTCATACTCTTTCATTTCTGATCTGGGTCATTGCTTTTAGCAACCTGAAACCTTAAGTCAGTTCAAAGTGGATTTTGTGAATGTGAATTAAGAAAATGAAACTATAGTTGTAAATAGCTTTACTGTATGTTACATAAAATTTTGCCACATTGTTTTTAAAAAAGGATAGTTTGTCATTCAGAAAAAAATGTGACTCCTGAACTGGAGCCAGTTGATTGTAAGATTGTTTATTAGGGTGTCGTAGTAATATAAAGTCAGTTGTTTCTGTGCTCAGTGTTGATGATGCTGCACGTTGGGTATCAGGTGTTGTAAATTTTTAATATACTGTATGTGCTGTTCCTTAACTAGCAGCTAGGAATATGAAATGTGTAGCTTCGGCTTTGTCACCACATTCTCTCCTTAATATGAATGTCCTCAACTTTCTTTTAAGAATAACTTAAAAGCCATTGAACGCTAAGGTGTGTGAGGAAAAGTAGATTTGTGATGTTTAAAATTTTGACACTATAGATGACAGGGCGGCCTGATGCTGTGGTGACAAGGGTGTAGCTGTCACTGTCAGAGTTTCACTGAGCAATCTCTGCAATGACAAGCAGATTAGGTTTCACCAGCCCACTCTTTTTGGAGAATTAAAAAAAACAATAACTGGTGCAGTCGTTTGACCAGACACATCACTATAGATGGAGAGAAGGATACCCTTGCGATACAAGGCTGATTAGTAAAAACATAATGGATACCAATATCTATGTCCAAGCTGTCCAGAATACAGACACTACAATATTTTAAAGATTTTTAATCTTCTCCAAGCTTTTTTGGCACGCATGAAGCTGCTTGTTCAACTGCTTCACACTGTGGTATCACAACCATACATCAACCTTTCAAAAGTGTAAGGTGGTCTTCTGTCAGTACACAAAGTTGTAGCTGCAGGTACCGTACAGGTTTCACACATGTTTTAGCTGCATTAATTTGATGGTCATCATTTTTTGAATGTATCCTTCAGTATTTCATGATTTTTCTTCTTATCAATAAACCCTGTAGCTGTAATGTTACATCTGAATAGAAACAAATGTTATTTTCCCCAGATGTGTTCAGTGCAATTTATCAGAGTCCTCAGATAAGAGCAAGAACCTTTTCAGTGAAGTGGTTTGCTACCAGCTAGCTAAACATCACAAGCAAGACTGCTGTTGGATGGCAATGGCAATCCATTTCTTTTAAGGTGGTGTAAATAAGAGTTTTGTTGTTGTTTTGGTTGATTTGCCTTGTATAGCACCAGTTCATTGCTGTGTATACTCTACATGTATTTGTAGAGTCTGGCCAAAGACACCTCAAGGATGCACACATTTGCTGTCATGGTAACCTTCACGTTATGGGACAGTTTCTCGTGTCGCCACCAACCAATAAATCTGCCTTTTAGCACATCAGCACACAAGATTAGACTAATGTACATATTGCCTTGCCTGGTCTAATCTGTGCCTTTTATATGTGAGTATACACACAAGTTCTATAAAATTGAGCTCATGGGAAATTGACAGCTGAAGAAGTCATGTGAAAAATAAAAATTTTCTGTTTCCATGTATCTGCCCACAGAGAGTCGGGTTGTTCTTGTATTGACTGTGAAGCCTTTTCAGCTCATTCAAACGATTAACCTTGGTTGACGAGTGACAACAAACATTGGTGTTTTATAGTAAATAATTATTTGGCATTATTAGTGCTAATTTTCAGCCACAAATGTGCCGCAACATTTGTAAATCTGGCTTGTTGACACATGAAAATACTTATGTGTTCCCAAAGACAGAGCCAGAAGGAGGCCTGGGGTGGCAGGTTTTATTGAGGTGACTGGGTGCCATCTTTGAGTTCGGTATCCATTTTGGTAATAAATCGCCTTATACTTGTATAGTGCTTTTTCTATGCATTGCAGCACACTCAAAGTGCTTTCATGCTGTTCAGGCATTCACCCATTCACACTCCCAAGCACTCACATTCACACGCCAGTGTCATCACCAGGAGCAACTGGGGGGTTCGTGACACTTTGACATGTGGACTGGACAAGCCGGGAATCGAATCGCTCTACCTCCTGAGCCATAGCCCCTATAATATATCTGCTACATGCACAGTGCAATTAGTTTTCCATAAATTTATTAAAGAGCCTTGCTGTATGTTTGTGTTCAACTAACATTATGTTATGATTAAAATACAGATCCAAAAAGTCCCCAAATGTGATGTTGTGTAGGGGCATCCCACCCCCCGCCCCAAACAGCAGCAGCAGTAAAGGTGGCAGGAACCTTGACTTCTGGGATTTCACCTACAGGAAGCATTCAGTATGTCTTTAAAGATAAATCTCAGAGAGACCCACTGTAACTGGAAGAGTGGTCTGTTCCTGCCCTCTAATACGTTGCTGTTTTCAGCAGCTAGTTGTGTAGTGAGTTGCAAATGTTAAACAAAGCTCAGGTATCAACAGGCAGCATGGAGGAGATAATGAATCAGGTGACTTGTAAGCCAGCCTTCACTAAGTGCAGACAAACTTGTTTTTCTAATTGAGGGCTTGCTGAAATTGTGGCCCATAGTTTCCAAGTAGGTACAGGTGAAGAATAAAGTGTCTGATAATCAGGAAAATCAGGAATTGGCCAGGCCTGTCGATTAGCCTTAATAATGTGGATGTGTTTCCACAGAAGAAGAGGAGTAAAAATCACCTGACATAAGGTGATTAATACATGATGACATCCTGTACAGTATAATGTTATGATGATCTCAGTGTGGTGCTTGGTAGTTGTCAGTCACAAGTAGGTTTGCTGCTTTGTATTGGCGGATCGCTGGTGTTTATGTCTTGTTGGGTCTGATTTGTTTTCTCCATAGATGGGAAATGAGCAGTCAAATATGTGCAAGTTATTTTTGCTGCAAAACAGCAGGAACTTTTTGGCGCACCAGGTACTGAGGGTCGGGAGGCGTTGGTTTGTTGTGTTATTCTTTGCTTCATGTCGTGGTCATCAGAAAGTGTCGGTATGTTGGTTTGTTGTGTTTGCTTCATGGTATGAATGTTTAACCTTACAGTCATCAGCAGCTGTTTTTATGTGACTATATACAGTAGAAATTGGTCGGACATTAAAGTCAATCAGTAATGTGATGCAGTAAGTAGAGCATTTATGTACCTGAATCTTGCCCCTAGTATTTCATTGCATTAAAACAAATCACATTTTAATGAATAATGAATGTTTAAACATTGAAAAATAAAGAGAAAAAACACAACCTGCCCATGATGTAGGGCTATGGCCGATCCATTTCCTCTGGAGGGACCTGTAAACAGTCATGCCACAATCAGATGAAAGTAAGAACAGGAACAGAGACACATCAAAGGAGCAGTGATGCAGGTACAAGCTACAAATGAAATGAAAGAAAATAAATAAAATGGCATGTTTTCTTTCATATGGCTTCCACATCCATAAACTATCAGGGGATATTTTTAGATACACCCATCTGGCCATAAGGATACATCTGTGCAGTGGCAAATCAGGCAGAAAAACCTGAACAAGATATATATTTTCGTACCACCCCAAAATGACTGTGTATTGGCTGTGTATTCCTCAACAATAATTACTTTCATTAATGTCTGTATGGGTGTGCTATCATACTGAGGAGAGTTCATTTTAATGGATGCTCCACAAGGACGAAGCATATGTTCACACTGGGCAACAGTTAACATATATTCCAATAGTAACATCTGGTGTTTAATTCATGCACTTAAAAACAATGATTACATTTATCTGCAAGTTGCTGTGGATTTACAATTGACTCTGCTGAATGATTTGGTTTCCACTTGAATCTGTGCCATGTTATTATCTTGGTTCTCTGTCCAATAGACTGAAATATTTCACTTGTAAAGCCCCCAACCGAAACTAAAATGGACTAATAATAATAATAGATTCTTTGTAAATAGAAAACATGATCATTTTCATCCATCCATAATGGGCTCAGTAAAAGCCTACACTCTTTACAGCGAGAGCTTTCTGTGATCCTGCACTACATTTGAAGCTTATAAAATATGAATGTTCATTAGAATTAGGATTTCTGCACAGTAATATATCTGTAAACTCCAGTTTATTGATTCACAAGGTTTAATCTTCAAACAAGGTGACTGTTAGTGTTTAATTTGCTTTCTGCTACAAGAACAACAACAAAAGTTATTCTAGCTTTGCATATCCGGACTAAGGAGCGTCACATTTGGTTCGCTCATGTGCTTACATGGAGTTCATTTGTGTAAGGAGCAGACAATCTCACACGAGAATCTCATACCAGTGTAGGATTGAGTGTACAATTACATGGTGATTGAAAAGGGCTTTATGAGGCTCAGAGAATCTGCTAGTGGCAGCTGGCAGCATCTTGCTCACTCAAGTCACTTATGAGTGGTAATGATTTACTGATTAAGTCACTTGATGTTCAGGAATCTCTAGGCTTCAAGACATAAGGAGATTGTTACTGATACTTTGTGTTTCTGCTCACTTTTCAAGGTATTTTTCAAGTAATATCTAATACTTCTTGAAGTGACAAAATTTAATTTAGCTGTTTCTTTCCCATGTTGGTTGCATTCTGACAACCGACGTAACAGGTACAACAAGCAAAGTGTTTCTCAAGTCTGTTTAAAGAGCGTATGATGTTTCATATTTCAGTGGAGCCACCAGCCAAGGCTCCACTGATACGTAGTAAATAAATTCTGGATGTCTGTCAGAAGTCTGTCCTGTTATCTTTTGTTCACATTATGACTCTGCTGTTGAATGTTGAAAAGATCTTTGTGCACGCTGGCTGAAATGTCTCTGATGGGGGCTATTTACATGCTTTCACACCGTCTGCTCCCGTTCCTTTGTCAGTGCTGTCATTCTCTTCACTGTTCAGATGAGGAATGCTTTTAAGTTGTTGTATTTTTTTCTTTCACAGACACTATGTCATAGATAGGCTGACATGAAAAGAGAAATACCTATCTAAGAGTGTCCTTCTGGTAATTTATGTCTTTAACTTGTATCAGTTCTGTATGCAGTGGTCTTGTGATTCATTTTATTGCGGTGTTCTCAGCTTATGTGTTAGTGTAATGTTGTAATTCTATTAAAGGACATGAACATATCATTTCAGTATGTGCTGGGCACTGTAACCGCCATCTGATCATGTTTCTAACCTTTAATTTTGCCTGTTTTAATTTCAATTGTATGTATTTTATTTCATTTTAATAATGTTTCAGCTTTAATGTTTTACTCTACCTATGTAAAGCACTTTGAAAGGTCTCTGTGCATGAAATGTGCCATATACTACAAATAAAGCTGCCTTGCTTTGCGTTTTGTTGCTGCTGAAGCATGTTTTCGTATTAAATAGTTATACATTTTCACTATCATGTTTACTCACTGATGTAAGTGCAGTGGACATTGTTTTTACAAGTAGTGTTTCTGGAATGAACCGTGGTCAGGCTGAGTCATGCAACACTTTTGTTAAAAATTTGAAATGGAGATATCTGGATGCCCAGTATTTTAAGGCTCAGACCATATAACCACTAGGTCCTCAGTTTATTGAGTCTGGCAAGAGGCATTTCTTGAATGTTTTCCCTCTTTTCACTGTCACACTCCAACGTGCAGTAATGGCAAAGAAGAAGAATTTTTTTTTAAATGACAATAATTGCCTCTAATTTTTCTTATTTTGTATTCAAAATTCCTTTAATGTGTAAAAGTGAAAAAGAATTAAACTCGTCCAGAAAAATAATTTGATATCCGCAGTGTGGACTTTTAGACATTATTTTACACCCAGAGGTCTCCTGTGTATTATTGTTGAAGAGCTACACCCAAACAGTAGCCAGAATTATTTTAGAATTTGTAAAAGAGCAAAAAAATAAATAAATAAAAACTTTAAACGATTGCATCATTACTTTTCTCAAAACACAAGAAATTTGAAATGGTTCATTATCAGAATAGGTTATTTTGGTCACCAGGTGCAGTGCAACAAAAAGTTTCCAAAGTGCCCAATAATATACAGTAAGTAATACTAAAAGTAAAAATGATATCTTTTGTCAACATTTATATCCCTCAAACAACAAAGCCTCATGCACTTTTACGGAGAAAAGAAGGCTCTGTTACTCATATCAGGGCAAATGCCTCAGCGAAGCTACTGAAAGCTTGGCTTTATCATTAAATACTCACATTGGAACTAAATGTGCAGAAAGAGTTGGGAGTGTGGTGCTCTTCCAAAAGTTCTCACATAGGTCTTCAGAAATAATGGGGAAAAAATAATTCTAATGTAGTTTTTTAAGGTTAAAAGTAAAAGATGCTATAGCTTAAATGTACCAATTTAGAAAGTACATGAACGTGTTAAGATGCAACAGGCTCCTCTTTAAAGTCAAAAACCACTAGTCACAATGAAAAGAAGCTCTAACTTTATTTTACTGTCTGCAACGTTCAGTCCAATGCAGCTGTAGAGGAAGATTATAAGAAAGCTACATTTCCTTTACTTTATATGGTAGATTACATCTGTACCTAATTGTAAAGGTTTAATTCAGTATAATAAGTATAAATCACTAGGCTCACTTTCAGGGGTCCACTCACCTTGCACTGTCTGCATCGAGATAAATTCTAGGG